AGAGGCAAGTTAGTTCACCTTGTTTACAAATCATGAAACCATGAAATTTCTAAACAACCGGGTTAAGCTCAAAGGCAGACACGCAACCTAGGTAGAATTTTTGGCTTTATTCAATTTCGTACAAAAGCACAAAGCTGGGAGGCAGAACCGCGTTGCAGATGCACCAAGCAGACATCACTTATTAATCACCTCAAAGCAAACAAGCGTCATAGGGTTCAAGATCATCAAAGACTTGAACAAAGAAGACGATGATTTCAAAGATATCTGGAAAAGGTGTCAGGAAAAACCTACAGGACAGTACTACCATGCAGATGACTACATATTCTACCGCAATAAACTATGAATTCCAAGATGCTCCTTGCTAGAAGAAATTGTACAACAGAACCATAATGGAGGCCTCGCTAGCCACTTCGGCAAAGACAAAATTCTCGACCTCGTCAAAGAACACTTCTTATGGCCTCGACTAACAAGGGATGTAGAGCAAGACGTTCGACAATGCAAGATTTGTCATTTAGTAAAAACGAAGGGGCAGAATACAGGGTTGTATATATCGTTGCCCGTACCAAAAGCACCCTAAGTAGATGTCAGCATGGACTTCGTACTAGGTCTCCCCAAGATACAAAGGAACAAAGATTCTGTCATGTTTGTCGTGGACAGATATTCTAAAATGGCACATTTCGTACCCTGTCACCGTATACTCGACACATCGCATATCGCTGACTTATATTCCAAAGAAATCTTCGGGTTACACGGGATCCCAAAAACTATTACTTCTGAAAGAGATGTAAAATTTCTAAGCCACTTCTAGCGTACCTTGTGGGAAAAGTTAGGCACCAAGCTCCAATTCAGTCCAGCAGCCCATCCACAAGAAGACGGACAGACAAAAATAGTAAACAAAAGCCTGGGAAACCTATTGATATGTTTTGTGGAAAAGAACAACAAACAATGGGATCTCATTCTCACTCAAGCATAATTCGCCTACAACAAATCCATGAGTCAGACAGAGACGCAGCCCATTCGAGATTGTCTACGGCCGCAATCCACTCGCACCGCTTGATCTTGTTCCACTCCTACCACCGTCATAACTCGGCCAAAATGCTACAGAACGGGTTCAAGAAATCCAAAAAATACATGAAGAGTTTGGTAAAGAGATTGCTAGAAAAAATAGAAAATATCAAGCGCAAGTAAGCAAATCAAGGAAAAAGGTGACATTTAAAGACGGTGATCTTGTTGGATCTGGTCGAAAAGGGAACGATTTCACATAGAAGCTTTTGGAAAACTGAAAATCAGACCAGCGGGCCTTTTAGAATTCTGCAGAAACTCAACAACAATGCATACAAGGTTCTTACCATGAGACTACAACATTTCAGCCACCTTCAACGTTGTTCATCTTACTCCGTACTTTGAAGATCTAGAAGCTTTAACAACTAAGTTCGAAGCTCCCCCAATCCCGGGAGACTGACACAAGGCTCCTGGGGGGCCGATCTGGCACGGGACCAGCTCAGCTAGACCGACCGACCCCTTGGAGGGGGGTAACCGCCCCCTCCTTCCACATTCTCTTTTCCTTTCTCCCATCTCCCTCTCGCCTTACCCTTCCTTTCTTTTTTTTTTCTAGTCCTCTGCCAACTCCAAAACCTTCCTTAAAAACTGAGATCTGATTTTATTTCCTCTCCTAAATTAAAAACTCTTCTTGAAAGCCTAAAATCTGATTTGATTCTTTCCTTAAATCTGTGATATAATTTTATGTTCATTTCTTAATTTAATGCTTCCTAATTAGGTCAAATCTCTTTTATAAATAGGAATTGTTTTGTCTAGAGTTAGGGGGCTGATTGTTGAGATCTAATTTCACTTCTAGCTTATTGTTTTTCCCCTTGAGGGTTGTATCCAACGACAAGGAAGGTGCTCGGGTTGTAACCCCGTCCGAGGTGGTGATTATCTTCATCTTTCTTACCACCTTCTGTCCTTCAGCATCTCGTCGTCATTCCAGCCATTCAAACAATTCAACAGACAGCTTCCTTGCCTTCCAAAGTGTCGCAGGATCCTACCCCTCCTCTCTGTAGGGTGTCGCATCCCTACTGCTCTTCCAAACAGCCAATAGGCCTGCTCCAGCTCCTCCCTGTGCCTTTCCCGACCATCGATCTCCGCTCCCTGCAACTTCCCTTCAACCGCAACTCTCTACAGGTCCTCCCAAGTGGGTCCCAGGCCACTGCAGCTTACTTGAAGACAGTTTGCAGCCACCTACTGCCTTCCCAACGCCGCCACGATTCCCTGCAACCCCTCACAAGTCAGGCTCCGTTTGGGGCCGCCAGGCGCCGTTTGGGGCCGCTTTTTACGAGCGGCGCGGCCCCAAACCGTAAATTTTTCCCGTTTGGCTCCCAGCTTCGCGGCCGAAGGAAGCTGAAGCGGGCGGAAAGCCGGCCACGGGATCGACCCCGCGGCCCAGCTTTCGCTTCTCGCGTTCGTGGATAACGTTTGATAATACCCCTGCCCTCTTCCGCTTTTCGGTACGAGCAGATCGCAGCATCCAAAGCCGAATCCCTTCCTTGCCTTCGAAGCCCTCCCTCCCACGTACAAGCTACGATCCTCCCCGATGCAACAGAGCCGAAAGCCCCTTCCCTCTGTTGTCTTAATTTTGTTCGACGAAGATAAAGAATGTCGAGGGTTCCTTCACGAAGGACATGGTTTTGGACCAAATCGGGAGAAGAAAAGGGAGACATTGCCGGAGAATATGGCAAGGAAGAGGAAATGGCTGAAGAAGCTGAGGCTGAGCTTTGTTAAGAAACTGAAATCCAAAAGGAGACTTGTTTGATCTCCATCACAAATGGATTGTATTTTTTGTATCGTTTCTCAATCCCTCAGTTCATTTCTGTTATTTATATAATTTTGCTTCAGCGATACATATAAGAGCTGTGACGAATGGATAGTAAATGTTTTCTTTTAAAATCAATATAAATGAAGTTTCAATAATTGGCCTCCAGGAGTTACGAATTGATGGAAGGAATACTTAAAGTTTACATTTATCGTGATGGTCTAAAGCCAATTTTTCATACACCAGAACTAAAAGGCATTTATGCTTCTGAAGGATGGTTTATGAAGTTGATGGAACAGAATAGGCATTTCGTTGTTAAGGATCCAAGTAGGGCACATCTGTTCTATCTTCCATATAGTGCGCACAGAATGGAACTTGCTCTTTATGTTCCTGGTTCTCATAATATGAAGCCATTGTCTAAATTTCTGAGGGATTATGTGAATCAAATATCTTCTAAATATCCCTTCTGGAATCGAACAAAAGGATCAGATCATTTCCTAGTTGCTTGCCATGATTGGGTATGTTTTGGAGATCCTAGAATGCTTTCCTTATATATTTCCTAGATTTGCTTTGTGTGATCAATGCTCCTTATTTGACTTTTGCAATTTTGTTGCTATCCTGAAAATGTTGTTGTGATATCGTTAACTTGGCTTATATCATTCTAGGAAGATGACTATTTTTAGACAAGTTTGCCATCCTATATGCACACTGGAGCTGAAATAAATCTAAATTTAAAATTTTGTTCATGCATTATAGTAAAGATTTTACATAAATTACAAGCGTGAATATAAGAGGAAGTGGAGCATTTATTGCAGTTTAATTTCTCAAGCTACTATATCCAGTTCTCTAGTTCCTACATGTCTATTTATTCATCTTAAACTTCTTCCAGAGTGAAGCATAAAATGCCTTACATATCCATATTTTTGCTGGGATAAGGGTCTTTTTCCTCCACTAGTATTAACGTAGCAGATCCTGGACTTCCTAGTATTGTGGAGGCAGGAGCAATTTAAAATATTTGCCAAATCTTCTATGGAGTGAAATTCATATTCAACTTTATGAGTACAGAGTTATATCACATAGAATAGTTAGTTTTATATATTCACATATATTAATAAATTTAATATATAAATATATAAATTTATGAACAATTTAAACAAGCAGGGGCAATATGGTCATTTTTCCAAAAACAGTTACCCCACAGCTGTTTTCACACAGCTGCACCAAACAGACAGCTAGCTTCCCCGCAGCAGCTTTTTGGGGCAGCGCAGCTGCGCCAAACAGACCCTCAGTGGAGTCCCTGTTGTCCTCTCAGAATTGCCAACCGATCACACAGCTTCCCTACAGTTGTCACAGCTCCAGCCACCTCCCACGCAGTAGGTAGTCGTCCCTCTAGACCTTCCCCAGCGCCTCTTGTTGCTGTCACTAGTTGTTGCAGCTGCGGCTTGAAGCTGAAACCATCACAACCTGTTGTCTTCGTCTTTCGTCTTCCGCAGCAGCCTCACTTCTTCGGCCTTCACTGCAGCCACCCATCCCGCCTCCGACGACGATATTGCTTCTTTAAGCTGCGGTTTGACGCTTCGACGAGCGTTAACTTACTCTCACCTGACATCGCTCCGGCTTTCACTGCAACCACCGCTTCGGCACCGTCTCTCCGGACACCCTCCTCGTCGAGCTTGTTGTGTCTTTATATGTTGAGTCCCTGTTGTCATGTCTTATTTTATGTTTTGATTTGTGTAGTATCTTTCCATTCTTTTGAGTCAATGTTGTCATCGTCTTTTAAGTTATTAATAAATTCGTGTCTTGCGCCGTGGATTGAGTTAACTCCAGTATCAGGAGGATAGGCAGGGGGAAGGCAAGAAGAAGATTGGAGAAAATGAAGGAGGGTGGTGGGGCCCCCTCCAAGAGGGCCAGCTGGACCGGCTCCCATAGGAGCCCCGAGTCAATTAAGTCTATCATTCTCATTTCTGATTCTTCAATCCTAATTTTCTCTACTCATCTAATGAATGTAAGTTCTAACCTTCATTGTACCATGCCCTACGTAATTAAATCGCCTTATTTTACAAAAATAAGAACTTCACAAAGTAAATAAAAAGGTGAGCATGCAGTTCCGGAAACCACTACAAGTTTAAAAAAAAAACAGATGTAATTTCAGCTGATCTGGTATTGGCAAAAAGTAAAAAATGTTTCTCACCTGCAGATCCACGTCTACATATACGTTGAAAAGTTTCTCCAACGAAAAAAAGGCTACCATCCAGGTTAGCTGCATCAGGTTTATCCACTCTATGTAATTCCAAAGCTCTTCTTTCTGCTCCATCAAGAAGTTGAATGACAATGCATCGCGCGAAAGAGCTAAGCTCATAGTTAAGGATGACTCACCAAAAGAATAATAAGACTATAAAACAATCAAACCAACAGAAAATGAAAGAAAATTTTAACTTTTTGTCCTGAAAGGCAGAAGTCGTCAACCACTTCCTGGATTTGTTCGAATCCATGGCATTGACAATTGGAGCCTAATGCCAAAGATAAACTTTTAAAAAAAATACAGATAAAAAATAAGACAACAAACTTATCCGTTGGAAATTTAAACTTAACTTTCTAGACGTGAGAGAACTTTCCATTTTGACAACATTTACAAAAAGAAAAAAAGAGAAGAAGAGACCTCAAATTTTCCACTCTTGCCTTCTAATGCTTTACATATTATGTAGTCCTTTGTAGTATCGAAATTCAAACCCTCTGTACAACTGAGTCTACGGGCTTAACAAATCAATGGAACTCTTAGCTTATGTAAGAAAGCATTTATTTAATGAACTATTGATTACAAACCCCATCTTTGTTGTTTTAGTCATTCTTTATACAATTCTAGGGCAAGCCAGATGGCATTTAGTATTTCATGTAGCAGCAGCAGAAATACTGAAAATGGAAAAATAAATGACACGACAGCAAATATCACCTGCAAAAAAAAACTTCTTGTTTTTCAAAATACTGCTTAGACAGATTACAAAATAACAAGAAACTAATATGAAATCCTCGAAAGGCATGGTACAGGATACAGAAATCCTCAAATATAGATTATATTTTATTAAAAAAAAAAGAACTCTTAGAGCCTTACAAAAACTTAAACAGGGAAATTTCAAACAGTAACCTGAACAGCAGTGATGAGACAGACTGCAAGCTCGAAAATAAGCCATCTAGAGAAAGATCATAATGGAAATCATGACTCTTCATCAAGATGAGCATCCATTAGAAAATGGAAATATGCGATACACCCTATGACAGGCTATAGAACATACACGAATGAAAATCTGGATACTGTGATGAAAGTAAAGGTAGAGTTTCCAGTGTTGCTTTGTCAGGAATGGAAGCAAGAAGTTGTGCAACCCTGGATATAATTAAAGACCTGTCTGCTTTCAATATTCCACCAAGATTTCCGACAACTGTGTATGGATTACCAAATTCGGAAACCATAAGCTGCACCCCTTTTCTTTCAAGTAAGCACAAAATCAATAACCTGAAAAGCTCCGCGAATGAAATTTGTCATTATATTTTTAAAACTAAAACCTTAAAACGCACAAAAAAATGGAAAGCAAAAAAGTTCCAAAAAAGAGAAATAAACTCAAAACATTGCATTACAGAAATATATTTTAACAACAAAAAGGTCCAGTTCAAACGACATTGACATGGATGTTGCCTTTCAAATATTGAATACAAATTGACAAGGATAACAAGACTATTTCATCATCAAAATCATCATCATTAGCCTTTGCCCGACCATTTAGAGTTATAAATCCTCATATTACATTCATTGATGTTAAGTGTAAAATGAGACATTGAATGTAGCTTGAATAAATCTTTATGCACAACTTAGACCCATGTTGCCCTTGGTCTACCCATTTCCTTAAGAAAATACTTCATTATCATACTCATCGCCATTTATTAACTATTGAGGGTTGACTTTATAAATCCTCTTCATTCATTCTTGGAGCATGTTGCATGAAATATTGATTGTAATTTACATAATTTTGATCACACTTTAACCTTAGGTCTATCCCATTTCCTTGCTAATCCTTAAACATTAATTTTATCCGTAAGTCTTATGGTGCATTTTCTATAAGTCTTAATTTAAATGGATTATACTCCCATCATCCCTCTTATAATAATTTATTAATCAAGTCTTCTTAACTTTGGCATATATCGATCTTAATATTGTCTTTCTATCACACTCAACTTTACTATCAATAATTTCATCATCACCAACTTGCTTCCACGCAACATAGCAAATTTAATTGCAGTTTTCTAAAACTTACTTTCTACTCATAACATTTTATTATATCATCATATTCATGAGAAATGTATCTCTTTAACCATCGAGCCTTGACTCAAAAAAATATATCAAGATTATACCGCCATATTTTTCTATAATACAAGTTCAAGATACTTAAATTTAACTTATGCAGACATTCCCTGATATTTCAAAAATATGGGTAGTTTTTTTTTTCTCTTGCTAAAACTGCATATCATCAACTCTACCCAAAAAAGAGTATCATGAAACTCAATCTCCATGAGCTCACACCAAGCACAAAATCATGATTAAAAGCTTGAAATGGGACAAGCAAGCTCATGAGTCCCAATGCCAACATGGTCCTAAGATCAAGCTTTCGAAGTTCACATAAAATCATAAGAAAGCCTACCATGTCAACAACCCCACCACCCCCCACACCCCCAACACCACCATTGACAATTGGAGCCT